CAAGTATGTTATTGAGTTTCAGTGGTATTAATGGCATGTCATAGAGTCTAGCAGCTGCAGAATTAAGTAGTACTATAGTGTTAAATAAGATATAGTACAAGTCAGGTGGGTAAAACTCGACCTCAGCACTACGGTGCATTATTAGGTGAGCAATGCTCGACCTCAACACTTTTGTGCAATATTTGACTCCTATACCGGGTTCCTCATATATTGAGAATATTGGGCAATAGTTGTTGATAAAAATGATTTTATCTATATTATGTTGTTTTGATTTTTGCATTTGAAAATGATCTTAAATTCATGCATGATATGTATTGCATTGATTATTGTTTTAAATTGCCTCACTAAGTATATACTTAGCGTGTGATGATTTTCATGCGTAGGTAAAAAGTCAGTAGTAGAATAAAGAGTTCGGAGCGACATCAAGCATCGAGGAGTATATTTCCATATCGGTAAGACATCTTATGATGTGATTTTGACTCAGTTAGTGGCATGTACTATAAATGTCCTAGTTGCTCTGTTGAACTATTTTGGAACTGGTTTGTAATAACTAAGCTAAAAGGTTTTACTCTATTTTCAGTATGGATAGCATAAATACATACTAATATATGTTTTAAATAGTTTGTGAAATGATAATTTTATATTATCAGTTACCATTTTAAGAAAATAAATTTTAAATCAGTTTTAAATTGGGAAATGTTTTTAGAAAAGAATGTGACATCTATAATATGTATGGGTATACTTATATGGGTTTTAGGTGTTACACGATGAATCAAACTATTTTTGTCAAGTGAAAGAACATTATTGACAACACCTTATTGGCTCAAGAGTTGGTTAAGGGATATGCCAGGAATACAATTTTCCCTACGTGTGCCTTGAAAATTGATTTGCAGAAGGCTTTTGATTCCTTGAGTTGGGTTTTTTGTTGAGTATTCTTATAGCTTTGAAGCTGCTTGAGGAGTTTGTTGGCTGGATTAGGGCTTGTTACTCCGTGTCTTTTAATGGCAATCTTGTGGGGTTCTTTAAGGGGCGAGAGGTGTTAGGCAAGGTGACCATCTCTTCCCTTACATCTTTGTGCTTTCTATGAATGTAATCTTGTGTATGTTGAACCTGGTAGCTACTAAAGGGATATTTAGGTATCATCAAAAGGGCAAAAAAGTCGGTCTTACGCACTTGTACTTTGTTGATAACTTACTCATCTTCTTTAAGGGTAATTCAGATTCTATTCCTGGAGTCTGTGGGGTGCTGGGACAGTTATATTCCATGTATGGATTGGAGCTCAATGTAGCTAAATGTGAGGTTGTTTTGGGTAGGGAATCAGAAGAGCAAAGAAGAATTATTAGGGAGCTTTTGGGGTTTTATTTGGAAACCTTTCCTGTGAGATGCCAGGAAATTCCCTTCTTGACTAGGAAATTGACTGAGAGGGACTATGGTGGCCTTATTGAGAGAATCAATACTAAACTTGAATCATTGGGCTGTAGACATTTCAGTTTTACTGGCAGACTACAACTTCTTAAAGTTGTTTTTTTAGTGTGGCCAACTACTAGTGCATGCAACTAATTTTGCCTCAAGCAGTTATTAAAAGGATCAAGGAGTTGTGCACTCAGTTTTTCTAAATAGGCACTGATGTTGTTGCAAGTGTTGCTCGCGTTAGATGGGTACATATCTGCTGGTTACGCTCTGAGGGATGCCTGTGGGTTAGGATATTGGGACTTGGAACAAAGATTGTACCCTATAGTTAATTAGGGGTATTTTCGCTAATGAAGGTTCTCTTTGGGTAGCCTAGATTAGGGCTTATATGTTAAAGATGAGGGGCTTTTAATCAGCTGAGCTCCCTGCCAATGCAAGCTAGAGTATTTGGAAGATTTTCAAGCTGAGAATGGAGGCTCAACAATTGCTCTCTACTTCTGCTAGTAGGAATGACCCAAAAACAAACTTGTTATGGGATGAGATTAGGTTGAAAAGGCATAAGGTTTTTGGCATAAGCTTGTTTGGTTTCCTGATCATGTTTCTAAGAGTAGTGTCGCTGACTCGATGGCCATTTGGGAAGGTTACCTACCAAGGATAGGCTCCTGCAAATGGGGATGAATGTGGATGCTAAATATGTTATTTATGGAGATGAGAATGAATCTAGGGATCATTTGATGTTTGCTTGTGTTTTTGTTAGGCAACTTTGGGAAGGTATTTTGAGGTTGAGTGGTCTAAGCAAGGGTGTGATGATTTGGGATGAGGAGCTGGCCTTGGTTTATTTTAAGGTCAAGAATCTCATTGTAACTGTCCTCGGAATTGCTTGGAATGAGTATATTTATAGTGTCTGGGAAGATAGGAACCACATGTTTTTTCAAGGCGTTCTCGTGAGGTTGATGATTTTTATTAAATTGGTGGTTCGAACTAAGCTAAAGGGAGATCATTCATGTTGAATCATGTGAATGTTGGACTCGTGGGTGCTTGGGGTATTCCATGATTGTTCTTATTTCCTTTCATTAATATGTTGATTTGCTAATTAACTGTAGCAGTTGACTGCTTCTTTGAGATATAATACTGAATTTATTCAAAAAAAAATCATCTTGATCCGATGAGTGATTTTTGAAACCAAAGGGTAGAATTTTAAAAATATTTTGTCAAATCTACTAAAAATATGAGAAAACTAATGTTAGTTCTAGGCTCAAAAAAGAAAATATATATTCATGTTTGGTTTTTTTTTACCACCATTGACGGTGATCGGTATGTACACGATGGTCAATATGGCCAACATCGAGTTGGTAACCCAACTGGTGATCGGAAAAAAACAGATGAAAAGCTAAGGAAGAAAAGTGAAAAATGAAAAGAAAAGAAAAAGCTCAAAACACATCCTTTTATAATTTTCCTTAAATGACATCATTTTAGGGTTCCCTTTCTAAAATGTTGTTTTCTTAGCATATTTATTTATTTATTTATTAATTTATTTATTAACATTATGTATTATTTTTATTATTATTACTATCATTGTTTGTCATTTTCTATTAAATTAAGTTATTTATTGACATTATGTATTATTTTTATTATTATTACTATCATTTTTTCCATTTTCTATCAAATTAATGTGATTATAAAGTAGTATTTGATCTAAATATTCTTAACCATTTGACAATGAACGCTCAATCACCTATGATGTAGTTGTTGGTGCTCGAACCCAATACCTCTAAAAATAAAAACTATTCTTTTAACCATTAAAGTAATTTAATTACCTTTTTTTTGTTATTCATTTAAAACATCATGTATTTATATTAAAATATTTTTTTAAGAAAAAGAAATTAAGAGAATATTATTGTATTACGATAATTAACAAGGTGGTCTACTAGTTTTTGTAAATGTTATCTTATTAATTATTAATAATAGAAGAACATTTACCAACAATCGGTTGATCTAGTTGGATGAGGCATTACATCTTTTAAACAATGTCAGAGGTTCGAATCCTAGAGATTACAAATGGAGCAATTTGAGTTGAGAGGGTCTCTGTTGCCTCTGCAGTACCCGAATTTGAATTAGTCGATCAATAGATCGGATCCAAACAATAATTAAATCAATTAAATTTACATTCATTCAAGAGATCATGGATTAAAACTAAATTCTAACTTTTATTTTTTAAAAATTGAGACAAGATGTAATTTTAAAAAGAAGTTAATTTCGAGTATAATAAGATGATTTAATTTTTATCATGTGTAATCGATCATTGAATCTAACTTTTACTCTAATTTTAAAAGTATGCCTCTAAAATTATTTTTTCCAAATAGAATTTTCGAAAGATATTTTTTAAGAGGGTGATTTTTGGATGTATTTGATAATGTTGTCTAACAACACTTTAATCTAAAAAGTTCGTTTTGATAGCAAAACCAATGTCAAATCGGTAAAAATAGAAAACAAATTGATATGAAAATTGTTGCTTCAAATCAACTACAAAAGTTGGGATTTCTAGCTTTTTCATTTCCAACTTTATATTTAGAAGCAAATTTATATTTTTAACATTATTAATGCATGAGCTCCATTCATTTGCTCTGGACAAAAACTTTGATATTTAATTTATTTTATTAATTATGTATTTATATTTTATTTCAATAATTTAATGTTAATATCCTTATAAAATAATTTATTTTTTATTAATTTATTTTAATTACTTAAAAATAAATAAAAAATTATGATTTATATATTAAAATATTAATAGTGAGTTATCATGAAATATATTTTTATTATAATTATATTTTTTATATGTATTTTTTATATTTTTTATACTTAAATTTTATTTCATATATAATAATATTTTTTAAATTTATATAATATATATATATTATTATTTTAATGGTTAAAAGTATAAATATATTATTTAAATTATTTTATTTTAAATTTTAAATGAGTGGTTGTGGTTAAATCGAAATAATTAAAATATTATCTTAAAATTCAAATGTTAGATGAGTGGTTGTGGTTATATCATAATAATTAAAATATTATCTTAAAATTCAAATGTTAAATGGTTTTGTTAAAATATTTTTTATATTTTATTATAGTTTAAGTTGATATATTTTATATATTATAGTATTAATAAGTGTAAATATAATTTAAATATTATATTTTGAATTTACAACATAATGTTTATATTAATAAATGTAACTATTTATTTTAAATTTATAATACAATGTTAATAATAAACATTTTTTTTCCAAAATCACTTTTTAAGAAGAATTTAAAACAGTTAAATTTTAAATAATAATTTAAAAATACATTTTATTGCACTTTTAAAAACCAGTTTCAAAAAACAACACCAAACTGTGTAACTTTCATCAACTTATTTAACAGCAGGCAAGTATTAGATAATTCTTAAACCATATCACAGTTAGAAGATAATTTTTTCTGAAACACTTTGTGCCAGTCATACAACTTATCATTTCGAAACAAAAGCAATATATATATATATATATATTCCTTGAAATTCTTCTCTGTCCTTTACCATATCCATTTTGTACAAGTAAAGGAATTTCAAACTTATTTGAACGTCCAAAAAACGGACTTATATTACAAAGTTACAAACTCAAAATCTTAATGAAAGAGACTTGGTCCACTCCCCAAGACATGTTGCTTCATATTAATGGAAGGTAGCTTCTGCTTCTTCTAATTCGATCCCTTGCTCAGCAAGTCTCTTGTCCTTGTACACGTACCACTTTGCAAAAACCAAGTAAACTACCAAGTTCAAGCAGCTCAGAACTACCAAAAGCCAGTAGAAATCATAGAGCCTCCCTTTGTTCAGATTGTCTGGGAGCCATGGGTGCTTGGTTCCAGTCACCTTGTCAACTATAGTAACCAACAAAGAACTTACGAAAAACCCTAAAGAAAGGGTACTCAAAAACAGACCCGTGCTCATTGTTTTCATCCCTTTAGGGCACTCCCTTAAGAAGAAGTCGAGCTGCCCTATGTATGTGAAGGCCTCCCCAGCCCCCACTAGCAAAAACTGGGGGATCAGCCAGAAGACGCTCATTGGGATTTGAGCTGATGGGTGATTCGCAAGGCCGTGTGAGCTTGCGGACCTCAATCGCTTGATTTCGGTCAGTGCAGCGGCTATCATTGCGATAATGGATAAAACTAAACCAACACCGATCCTTTGCAGAGGGGTTAGACCCTGTGGGTTTTTAAGAACCTTTTTTGCAATCGGAGCAATGATTCTGTCGTAAATTGTGACGGTTATGAGAATGCTGCCGACGAAGAAAACGGTGAGTGATGCTGGTGGGATTTGGAATTTCCCGATGTGACGGTCCATGGTTGTGGCTTGAGACACTGAAAAAGTCGTCATTTGAGCGTAAACGGTCCAGAAGATGATCGTGGTTGCCCAAATGGGTAACATTCTTAGCACCAATTTCACTTCTTCGACATCGGTTAAGGTTGCTAAGTTCCACTTGTTTGTCTCGGGAACGGATGGGTCGTTGATCGCTGCCCTGTCCAAGAAACTGCACAAAATTTCAAGCAATGAAATAGAAAATCAGCCAATAAGGAAAAATAAATAAAAAAATAAAAACAAGTCATTCTCAACATTTAAATAAATAAAAACAAGTCATTCTCAACATTTAAATCATGGCCAGCCGAAATTAATCACCCTTTCACAACTCAACACAAACACGTTTCTAAAACTGCGACTTCTGAGTCCAATTTTTATGTAAACTGTTTTTGTTTTCTTTGATGTTTGAATTTTTTATTTCATTTTTTAAGGTTATTTCATTTTGATTAGGTGAACCCATACAAAATCCAAAAGCAGGTATTAGAAAAGATACGGTTGGTATTAACAGAGCGTGATGGAAGGCAAATGAAGCCAAGCTGGGGTCGAGGAGAAGAGAAATGTTCAAAGCCAGTTGGTAAGATGTTGGTTTGGGTCTGTAATGTTTTATTAATTTTACAATGTAATAGTTAGTATGGTTAGTTTGTGAGAGTTAGCAGGAACTGGGGGTAATTTTTCCAGATTGTCATACAGAGTCCCGGCTCCAGTCCATGTAACGGGGCTTTTGGCCAAGGGTGGGATTCTTCGATATTAAGTGTGTCTTTGTTATCTTTGATTTGGTTTTTCCATGTATTATTCCCCTTTTTCGAGCACTCTTTTCCCCTAAATAGGGTTAGAGGGGTTTATAATGAGGCTGAAAATTGGGAACTCGTTTTTCTTTTTCTCCATGATGAGTGATTAATTTAAATTCATGTTGCTGAGCAAAAAAAGAAAAAAAAGAAAATGAACAGGCTTTGGACAACTAAAGCCAACATGTCTGAACCTTTAACTGGGGGAGGTGTGATTCATGAATCATGAGGACTGGTTTGGTGGCTCGTGATCTTAAACACCCACGCATTTTTCGGTCAATATGAACCAAAAATCTTATTCAAAGGAAAAATATATCTTTTATATATATAATTAATAACTATTTATACCTAATGTAAAATTTTTAGTTTTTCATTTTTTAAGATCATTTAATGAATGAAAATATTGAAATTATATATTTTTTTAATAAATATATTATCATATTTTACAGTTAATTTTAATAAACAAGGATTGTCAATCATCCGGACCTAGAAATTCAATAACTTTAGTCTTTGATCGCCACATATAACCCAACTGGTTCATGTTTATCTATTATATATTTGTCCCCACTGCCTGCTGCCACCAAACCTTATATTGATGATATTTAAGATTGCATGTGTTTATAATTAATTATATTAATTTGAATTACCATAAGAACTTTCGTGGTCCAATTTCAGTTGATTAATCTACCCAAAATAATTTCACATTTGATTCAATACGAAACTTTACAAGAAATTGAAAATCATCAAATTTTTTCAAGTTTTAAGTAAAAGATTAGTCAAATTAACAAGTATTGTCTTGTTTTAAATATTATGTTTAGGCTGTAATTGTTTGTATGAAAAGATGTTTAGAATACTAACCGGAACTGCTTGCTGCGTGGCAGCTTTTGCTTCTTCTTCTTCTTCAAACCCTCAGCTGCATCATCAATTTCGAAAAGCATCGACGAATCAGATGGCAATTCCAAATGCCTCTTCTTCCAGGCAGCGACAAACACAGCGGCAATTTGGGTCAATGGGCTCCCCAGCAATTTCTTGAAGCGGTACTGTCTGGTCCCCGACAGAAACACCACCAACCCTATCACGATTGCACAAGCACAGATACCGTATCCCCATTCACGCCCTATATTGTCCTGGATGTACACCAGAATGGTGACTGAACCAAGCGAGCCTATGTTTATGAAGAAAAAGAACCAGTTGAAGAAGTTTGACATCCGGGATTTCTCTTCGGGGTCCGACTCGTCGAATTGGTCTGACCCGAACCCTGAGACACTTGATTTGAGTCCCCCGGTCCCAAGGGCGGTCATATAGAGAGCCAAGTAGAGAATAATGAGTTGTATGCCGCTGGCTTGGGTGCATGGTGTTGCACTGTCGCTTGTGCATTTGGGAGGCTTTAGGCTTGGGATTACTGTTGAGATCGTCAAGATCGTGACGCCCTGCTCGACAACGTAAAATAAATAAATAAACAAAACCAACTTTAGCTTTAAATTTTGACTTTGCAGTTATCAGACGTAAAAGGAAATGAATCTTACGGTTGCCTGAACGGTGGCGAAGATTCCGATGGTGAGATATCTGTGAATAGGAAAGGATTCATAAAATGATAAAAGTTAATTACATAACCGAGTGCGTGGGTTTGCGTTGGAAACGCGGAAGGTATTTTAGAGTGGTAGAAGAGGGCAAACCTGCCAAGGAAAGTGTCGGCGACGAAACCACCAAGCAGACAGAGCATAAAGGAGGTGCCGAGGAAGTTGGTGACGGTGGTGGCCGAGGTAGCATTGCCCAAATGCATGGTTTCAGTCAAATACGTCACCAGATTAACCGCGATACCTAACGTTGTTAGCCTTTCACACCCCTCAACACCTGAGATATATACAGAAGCAAAAGAAATAAGGCCCAAGCCAAACGTATATAAGAATTTAAAGCAAAACAAAACTAGAACATTTAAAGACCTAGAATCATGGCCGCACTGGCCCAGCCACCGGACTTGGAACGCTCGGCCGGTTTTCCCGTGTAATCCCAGGCATCAGGTAGGGTTTTCCCTTGTGTTATGGGGAGGGACATTGTTTTCTACAGGTTGAAGAAAGCTTTGATAGGTAAGCATAAGATGAAAGGAGCAGGTGTGGCACGATGAGAGCAAATGCTGGCTGTGGGTTACTTATATAGAGGAGTGGAGGAGGGTTGGTGATGGCACAGTGAGGTTGAGTTAAAAGCCAAAATTGGAGGAAATGACACACATATTGCCTGAACTGATTGGCTTTCCCACATTATTTAATTAGTAGTTGGACTCGAATGATTGATACGCACAACACAACTCCTCCCCTTTAGGAAGTTCAATTTGGAATTGGAAACCATCGGCTGAGTAAAACTGAAAATTATTTATATTTTGATGGATTATGTTATTAGTTAATAGAGTTTTACTTTTTCCCTTTTCATTCATAAGTTTCTTTCACCGTTTGAAGAGATAAATAATTAGTTATGAAATCCATTTTATCTGCACAAATAAACCGTTATTGCATCACATATCATAGATAGCATGAGAGACAGCTTTTCGTTAATTTCCCTTATCGTTTAAAAGTTCTCCTTTCATCACTTTTGTCCACGTCGCCAAAGAAAATTTAACTTCTAATTGGAATCAACGGTAATTGCATTATATTCGGTTATTTAAAATATTATTCACATATTAAGCGACTTTAATGATTAAAAAATTTATTATTATCACTCGAGGTCTCGGATTCAAATATCTCATATGTAAGGGCACAAGTGTTTATTATCAAACCGTTAATAGTCTTTAAACATATATTACCATGATCTTGTATTTACCCCGTTAATAGTCTTAATTGTTGGTTAAGATCCATAACTTAATTAATTTCTACACCAAATAAGCGTTCATTAATAATATTTTAGATCTTATTAATCTTATTTTGTTAGGGAGAAATTTAAATCGTTTTCACTCTATTGTATTGATAACATCTAAGAAATCAAAATTTGAAATTCAAAATAAGACTTTTTACTACTATAATACAAGGTTGATCCCACTAAAAATATATTCAATGAATAATAACAGACTGGTTTATAATGCATCAAGATCACTAAGTCTCTAAAAGTATATACACGCTGATATAATTGTAGTTTCTAATTATCTGCATAAAACTTAATTTTATAAAAAAAAAAAATTACGTGGAGGAAACTGAAATTTGAATACAAGTTGCCTTCAGTTTTCACATTAATAATAATTAGTAGTCACGCAAAAAGCAACATTAATTTGGTCGATCTCCTCTCCCAAAACGTTAACCATCACAAATAGGTAGAAATCATGCTTGAAAATATCCATTACAAAAACTTTTGGTTTTACGGATGAAATTTGTCATGCTATGTACACCACCCAATTCCCCTTATGAGCTGGGGGAAAAAGCTTTATTTCTACTATTAGGAATTGGAGGTCAAAATCTATATATCTTGCCTTTGTCCCTACCCACCTAGTCCCATGGGTTTACTGTGTGTTGCATGGCAAGGACCCACATCTTCATTTAGTATACCGAAAGAATGGCTATCAACCTCCCAGCACCCTGGAGTTTCTCACAAATCCATCATTACATTTTTCATAATTAACCATTTAGATTTAACATGTGTCCCAATATTATTTAAGCTAATTCATTGCGCATAATATCAAAAAAATGTATCAAATGTTTGAGTAAATATCATTTTGGTTCATTTTTTTGGAATATTTTGTACCCATAGTATCAATTTAAGGGGAAAAAGTTTATAATGTTTGACTGAATAGTGATTTTAACCCTTATTTTGTGGAGTATTTTGACCCCGACATTTCATTTTTAGCAAAAGACTCTTATTTTAGAATGTTGATCGTTAGTTGACTAACAATTTCATATCCTTCTACTCAAAACGAAATGTTATGAGCCAAAATGCTCCGAAGCAAATAGGGACAAAAGTAATTATTTAACGATAATATTTTGTCATTAACGCTCATTGTACCATATTTTTATTACTTACTTTTCCGATCTGTAGGGTACCACAAGATTGTATTTTGAATGCTAATGTGAATATTGGGATATATCATAAGGATTTGATGTTATGGAAATGGAATTTAATTGGAGAAGGAGATGAGAGGATGGGAGAAATCAGAAAAGTTGGGGGACATGGGATTGGGAGGTGCATCCTTACATGAAGCTGCCCAGGCTTCCTCGTGAGGATTTTATCTTTTGCATCCACTTTCCATTAAAATTAAAATGTTATTTTAAAAAATATTTTAATTTTTTTTATTTTTCTTATAATTTAATCTAAAAATTTTAAAAAAATAAAATAAAATATTTAAAACTATCATCAACTTTATATTATTATATCATATTTTATTTTATATAATTTCTCATTATCTTTATTCCCTGAATTTTTTAACAACATTATTCTCCTAATTTATCTTAATCAGTCCCTATATAAATAAAAAATCAGCATTAGTGTTTTGTGTTTATTTTTGAATAATTAGTATTTTATGTGTTGAGAGTAGTTTTTGGATACCGGAAAGGACGTATTAGTTGTTGTTGGCAAGGAAAGAAGCTAGGCGTCCCTACAAATGTAACACGTGACACATCTTATTCCAAGATTCAACCTTTTGGGATCGATTCTCCGCCACTCATACAGGCCTCTCCGATTGAACCTTGAGGGTTGACCACTCATAACTTAAACAAAGTCCATATAAAAGACTTTATTGGCCGGTGGCGGCCTCACCCATTATTCTATTGGATTCGTCATTCGCAAATTAATATTCTAATGCTCTTGGATACACTCTCTTGCCTTCAATTTTCACCACAAAACTCTTATGATAAGTTTGTTGGTGTAATAAGTTTATTAAGTCAATCATTGGTATTCATTTTCTTTAATTTAAATGAAGAGTTGTAGTTGATGTCCAGATAGTGATCGATGGGTAATATGATGATATGTATATGGATGTAAGGTTGAAAAGAGAATGCTCCAAAGTGAAACAGGAAGTAGTTGGAGACATTTTCCTCGTCTGTCATTATGTTTATATATCGATTCTCTTTGCATGCTTATATCAAGTCTAGAGTCATGATTGTTATGTATAGGTCAACAAAGTATATAAATATTGCTAGTTAGTACATTTGATCAATATAAATCTTTTGGATTCATCAATGGTCTTATCGATGACTCTTGGTTTCCGATGAATCCCTTTGGAGATGATATTAGTAGGTTGACGGGGAATTACACTTTCGGAGGTGAAATCACATCTTCGGATGTATTAACAATATTAAGTAATAACATTTAATACAAAGGTAAAAGGATGTTATAATATGTCAAATTGTAATGAGCAATCAAAGGAGTGTTTGGACTCCATCATATTATCATTTTAATTACTACTTACCTCATTTTTTTTATGTGCACTGTGGGTTGTTGATTGGTTCAAGTATTTAACTTAATTTGGACAAATAAATTCCAACACCAATCTAATTATATGATGCAATGCCTGCTATTCCAGAAGTGAGATTATGATGATTGATGGGTCTATACCATTTTATAAAAGAATGTGATTTTAATTAAGAAGTCAACAAAACATTCATTAAGAACCAAATTTGAAGACGATCAACCAATTTGAGAAAAATAATAATTTGGTTGAGATGGAGGTGGCAAACCTTCATCCTTTTGACAGCATATTTCAAGTTCATTTCATGTTATCAATATCAGAACTTTGTATTATCAAATTAATTTAATTCCGACAAGACCCTCACCATCCAGAAGGGTAAGAAAAGGTCAGAACTGGATAAAAATTATACTATAATGTATTAAATGTTAGTATCGTGAAGAATCAAGAGTAGAATATTCATGTATTTCTTCAACTTCTCCAAGAGCCAATGCACTTGGACAAAAATATATATAACAGAACAAGTGGCTAAGCTATAGCTGTTTAAGAAGTTCAAAGATTGAAAACAATAAGCCACTTTGATACATTTATTTTTCACTAAAATAGTTCTATAATAGAAGAGAGAGAAACAATTAATCCGGGTGTAACATTATGATTGGCTGCTAGGCTAATTTTTTAATTAAGTCAAGGCAAAAGAAGAAAAAGAAAAACGGACGTCCAAGTTTTCATACATGTAACTGGTTTTGAATGATAATCTATGGCCTAACCGAGGAATGGACGGCACAAACTCTTGTAAGTCAAAGTGAACAATAATATTATCAAATATATATATATATCGTAACCGTCCTTCAGGTGAGCCTAGGATCGAGTTTCGACTTGAATTTAATGTGTTTGAGCCGTCACCGATCATTTAAGATTAGGTTGATCAGATACCTTAATTTACCATTTTACATGATCTGCGTTTTACCAAAACATTTTCGGATTCAGGAGTCGATTACAGTAAAGGAAGGATTAGCACCATTGTACTGCCCTTTTGGTACCAATTTAATTTCTCTGATGTCTTAATTACGAAAATTAAAAGTAAATAAAAATTGTCCTAAACAAGGTCAAAAATGTTAAATAAAAGAAAAGAAAAGAAAAAACACAAAAAATTAATATTAGGGTTAGAATAAAGTAAATAAAAAGTAAAATTAAATAAATAAAAGAAAATATAAATTAAAAGTATTAAATTAGAAATGATTAAGGATCAAATTTAATTAATTGAAAGCTGCAAGGACAAAAAATAAAGTTAGAGGATTAAATTGCAAACGTATAAAAAATATAGCAGGGATTAAATTGAATAAATTCAAAATTAAAGGGTGAATTTATAACATGTGACCAAAATGAATTTCACTTCAAACTTCAATGGATTGAGAAAATAATTTAAAATTTTGATATTTACGAATCAATCCCCCTATAAATAGCCCCGAATTAACAAAAAATTCATTTATCCCCTCCTACTTCAAAAAAATGCTCTTCCATACAAAAACTCTCTCAACCCAAGTCCTAACCGAGAGACCAACCACCCGGCTCTGGTGACCACGTCCGTCGCTCAAAGCCGCCTCGGCCACCACCACCGATGGTCGGGCGAACCAAAAATACCCCAAAATGTTTGTCTCACTCTCAAGAGCCCAAATATGAACCCCAAAACAACAAAAGCAAATCCCTTCAACGTAGATCTAGTCTAAAAGGTTTTTTTTACC